AAGTACTTAGAGTGCAATGTATGCGTAATCCAACATATCATGCACTTTAATTATAACATAGATTACGATTTAAGCAGAGAGTTAGCTGCCTTTTTCATTTTGTTTTTTGTTTTTATTTCTTAAAAAAAACCTAAAGTACCGTTTTATTTTTCTTCTGTATACTACATGAAAAGAAGAATCTTTTTGTATCAGTTTAAAGTTGATCTTTTGTAAGTGAAGTTGTGTTTTGTTAAAAAAGTTATTTTATTGTAAAAATTTAAAATAATTGTGGTGATCTAAACGGCAGAAATGGATTTAAAAATTGGGGTAAATTTATTTCATACATTCTAGTTTTAATACTGATAATTTCCTCCTGATTGTTTACAGGATCTGTAAAGGAAGATGACCGAAAGTTTCAAAAGAAAATTAAGATTAATTTCATTTATCTTCGTTAAAATTGTTTAATTATATTTTTATTGAATTAACTATAATACATGTTTATTATTTGATAATTATTTTTAAATAAACTTACATAATGTTAAAATAAATATAAAAAAATATATATTTTTTCTATAACAAAAAGGGAAGACAAATGCAAATAGGATTGTAATCTACATACATTACATTCTTATTTGCAAGCGTTTATAGGCGTCTCATTAACTTCGCTTAGAACTCCACACATTATGTAAGTGAAATTTTAATTTGTCCTAATGATATTGTGGCTTACATTCTAAGCGAGAGCACATCGATGTGGCAGCCTAGGACACTTTTATGTTAAATCTAAGTAGAAGAATAAGTGAAAGCATCACCACTGACTGCCACGAAATATCACTTAGATAAGCGAGTACATAATGTATATTTTTACCGCTGGGAACATGAGCACAAAACGATCACAAAACAGATACACAGTTTCTGTTGAGCATGATCAGCAGGCGATGAATGAAAATGAAGATGAAGCGTGAAAATTGCTCCCGAATAACTTAAGATACAACAACAAGAAGCAAAGATTTCTACAATTTCCGGAAACAATACAGCGCAACAACAAATGGTATAGGAAAAATAAGTTGTAGACAAAATTTGTAAAGAATGAAGCAGAATTTTTGAAAACACAATAGCATATTTTCTAAGAAAATTTAGCTCCTTAAATGCACATGATATTATACTGCCAAAAAGAAAAGGACACACTCTTCTCTTAGATGTACACATACAAAGAGTGTTAGACTAGTATAGTGATATATTTAATAGAGACATTTAACGTAGTCTGCTGAGTGTCAAAAATTGTCTAAATGATTTCATATTTTTGCTGAAAATCTCTTTAACAAAACACAGTTTGATATGAGATGTGGACCTTTAAATACGAAAATATTTTCATATGATGTCCTACTGTGCGTTTAGAACGTCACGCGACATTGCTCGCGACTGTTGAAAAATAAAAGGGAGATGCTTCTTTCGCCTTTGGATGTCATGTAATGCGAGGGCATGTCCTACTTGAAAGTATTGTTAGTTAGTTTTTCTTTTTGTTAAGGAAATGTACAGCTGCTAGAGGTTGGTTATAAAAACGGCGTACGCGGAGTTAGCGGCATGTTGTGGATGCTGCTTGTCGTCCATAAGTTTGGGATTTTTTTTTTTTGGGTCAAATGTTTTATTGTTGGACATTGAAAACTTTTTCTTTTCATATATTTTTTAAGAAAACTATGTGAAAAGCGATCCAAATAGAAATGCAATCTATAATTGAAAAATTGAAAATGTTTCTTCTTTAAATATTTGGATCTTTATTATTTAATATGTATAAAATAACAACTTTTTGTATTAATATTACGGAAATGACCTTTAGAAATGTCAAAATTTTTCAAAAGATATGAATTCTAATTTTCATTAGTTAGTTAGTTTGAAAGGAGGATGTATATACTTCAAATCCGAAGAAATAGACCTAGGCCTCTATTAAACAGTACCTCAGGTTGGAATCGAACCCACCACCTCCGGTCTACCAGACTAGAACACTAACCACTAACCTACCGGAGGCCACTAATTTTCATTAAGAAATTACAAATTTTAAGAGTTATTGATACTTTTTGTTGGAAATTGATGAATATTAATCTCTTTGATCTCAGATTAAAGCTACTTATAGCTTTCAATTGTTCTGGGGAAGATTTAGACAGCTTTATTTGCAACATAAATAGATTCTGAAAGTCTTAAATATTCATTCATATTGATTTAAATTAAAACGAAAAAGGTTTCTAGTAGTTTTGTTATTGTAGATCATTTTTGATCTGGTGATAAAAATTTAAAGGGAAATAAAACCTTTTAACAAAAATTTACCAAATAAAAGATCATAGCTTGATAATTCGCGATCAGTATTATTGCAACATTTTGTTTGCAGAAAGTCTGCAAACACATAAGACATTTATTTAAAACAACATACAAATTACAAGAGCAATATAAATTGATCAATTAAATGATCTTTTCGGAATAAAATCTACATTCAGTTAAGAAAAAGAACGTAAACAGATAACAATCTTGATCAGTGCTGAATCAGAGATGAAAATTCTTACATATTCCTTTGTAATCAGGAATCCGATCCTTTTCGGTTTCGAACATTTCCTAAATGATAGGTATTCCTACATGAGATTCTTAAGGCAGTTCCTCGGAACACTAATGTACAGTGTTCTGCGTATCATTCGCTATTGCATGAACTTGATCTTATATTAAGTAATTGATCGAGCAGTGATCACAAATGCATCAAAATTCTTTTAATCTTAGATGATTGTGTCAATTGATTTATTGTAAAACGCTTGCACTTTAGTCTACGGGATCAGTTCCCTTTTGAATGAAATTGATCTTAGATTATTTTAAAGTCGATGGATTTGACTCTCAGCAGTCACAACAAAGTTGTTAAACAAATATGTTCAAATTCTGGTTTAAAGAATTATTACTAACGATAAGATTAATAATATTTTTAAATTAAAAATAATAATTTAGACAAAAACTTCTATTCACAGAAAAAATTATCAGTAGTTTATTTTTAATTAACATGTTTGCCGCTTTCTTTAGTTTTAATTTAAGCAATTTTTTATTTTTCTTAATTATCTCGTTATTTAAAACCTAAGTTTACAAATTTGATTAAATTTTTAATTGATTCAATTAGTTTTTTAATTGATTGAAAAAAATTTTTTGGCCAACTTTTCTATTTTAGTTTTTTTTAAATATTTTATTTTGATTTCTTATGCTAACAATGTTTATAATTCTTAAATAGTCAATACGATTTTAGGCATATAATATTCAAGTTTCCTGACAATTTATAAAATTTGATAATAAAGTGATATTTTTTGTAAATGTTCAACGCATTCAAGCATTCCTTTAACATTGTGAGTAATCAGTTAATAATTTGATTGTTTTAATCATCAACTTAATTGGTTTTAATACATTTTCTACCAAACAAACTAATTCATTTGATTAATAAATTCATAAAAATTTGATTTTATTTTTATTAAATATTTAATTTATACAATTAATGAATTAATCAATTTTAAATTTTGTCTTAATTATTGATATTAATTGTTCTGATTAATTCGTTATTTGAAAAAAAAAAGTATTTTTTTAATTTTTTTACAAATTTGATAATTGATATCATCATTTTGGTGATAGGTGCAAAACTTGCTTGATACAATTATTTTGATAATTGAAACATATTTTTAGTTTTTTCTGTGTTGAGGGCAAACTTGATTTGGCTGATTTGACATAGAAAACTTTCAACCTCTCAAGAATTGCGATTTATATTTAATCTACCACTTTATCTTAGCATTATCACAAGATCAGTACATATGGTAGTAAATAATGTCACAGATTATGTTGCTGATTTAATAGCAATGTTTACAGATTAGTAAAGAATCGCCGAGATTTTATCACTTCCGATCACTTTTTGCCCCCAAAAATATTAATCGCTTTACTTGATCCATTACAAACATAACTCTCTGTTCCTCTGGGAGCATTAGTTAATAATTATGAAAACTAATTATCAAAAATTACAACCAAACAGCAAGTTATTTATAACATGATTTGTGACATGCGACCAGAAGAACTCCCGAATATTTTGCAAAATTCTACGCTTAATTTTGGTTGTTAAAAAAATAGATAAATCCACAGTAAGGTGCCACTGTTTCTCCCAAAAATTTTAGCTTAAATGACATTAAATTTGTTGTCAACTTTAGGCCTACTGCTGTGGCAAGTATATGCTCTATAGATTTGGAAGAAGCAGGAGCATTATTATAATGTTTATGACCTGCTCTTTCAAAATATTTCTTAAAATTCTTTCTTTTTTCGCGTTGAAAACCAACATCCAACGAAATGTAATTTCTTCTGGCATATGAACCCAACCCCATGTTGAGCTGTTTGTGTGTTTTTGAGCGGCACAGTTTTTATTCCACGCTCTTGCTCTCTTAATGCTTTGGGAGAATTTTTATATTTTATTTCAATAAAAAATTATTTCCAACAATTCATTTTTTTTCCTCTTGTTGTTTTTGTTCTTTTTGGTAAACATTCAATTTTTTTCTATATTTCTTTATTTTTTTAAATTTTTTTCCTCCAATACAATATGATGTTGCTGTTGATTGTGGCAAGTTTGAGTTGAAAAAAATTATATTTTCCCTTCTTGTGAGTGTGTGCGTATTCAAGTACGTGTGAGTGTTGTTGTTGTTGCAGTAGTTGTTGGTGTCGTATATATACCACAATGGAAAAATGGGAAATTTTTTGTGTGGTTGTTGTTGTGGCAATGGTGGTTGCTTGATACCTGCTTGCTTTTTGGTCTGGCCTGTATTGTTTGAGCGAATGTTGTATGTCTGCCTGCCTGCTGCATGCACCCTTAATTTGTTTGTGCGTGTGTGTGTACGAGTTTGTGTAAGGGGTCGTACAATAAAATTTATACTCTTAACCAACCAACAACCGTACGACCCATAAAGCGATTCACATTTTTACTTCAAATACTGCTGATGATCGTTGCAGAGAGTCAGTTCACTCAGCGACTTGAACGTGTTAAGAACACATACAGAACAAGAAAAAAATAAAAACGTTTCCTTTTCCTTAAAAATACAAATAACAATTTTTTGTAAAAGAAAAACGTAACGAAAAGAAAATTTTAACGACGCACAAGAAACGAAACAAAAGAAAAAATTTAAACGGATAATTTAAGAAAAATAAACAGTGTAAAAAAGAATTTGAAAAAAAGAAAAATCTCAAAAGAGAGTTAAAAGAAAAAGTGTTTGAAAATTTAACAACAGTCTTACGAAAACAGTTAAAGTGTAAAGATCGTATTAAACGAAATTGAAAAAAAAAACTTAAACCATAACACAAGGATTACCTAAACAACAACAACACTTGGATTATCAATTTATTTAAATTTTTATAAAACACAACGAATTTAAATATGCATTTGCCTGCTGGTCCCACCATGGTTGCTACTCCCGCCCAAGCCATGCCTACCAACAACAATAACACAAACTCCGCCAGCTCGACTGGTTCCTCTACACCCGATACCACTTCCAATGCCGCCAAAATGCCCAGCTCCATGACTGACATGTTTGCCAGTCTCCACGAAATGTTGCAAGAATATCACGGTGAATTGGCCCAAACTGGTTCTCCTTCCATCTTATGCAGTGCTCTACCCAATCACTGGCGTTCCAACAAATCATTGCCCGGTGCCTTCAAAGTTATTGCTTTGGATGATGTGCCCGATGGCACCTTGGTCACCATCAAGTGTGGCAATGATGAAAACTACTGCGGAGAATTGCGCAACAGCACCGCCATCATGAAGAATCAAGTGGCCAAATTCAATGATTTACGTTTTGTTGGTCGTTCGGGTCGTGGCAAATCCTTCACCTTGACCATTACCATTGCTACATATCCAGTGCAGATTGCCTCATACACCAAAGCTATTAAAGTGACCGTTGATGGTCCTCGGGAGCCAAGAAGTAAGCAAAGTAAGTTTTTAGTTTGTTTTAAATTTTTTGTTCTTTAAAAAAAAAACACTTTTTTGTTTCCTTCATTTATCAAAAACAAAAGTTTTTAGTTTTTTTATTTATGTTTTGTGAACGGTTATACTTATGATTTGTTTTTCTTGTTTTCCTTTTAGGCTACGGTTATCCTCATCCAGGAGCATTCAATCCATTCATGTTAAATCCTGCTTGGTTAGATGCTGCCTACATGACCTACGGCTATGCTGATTACTTCCGCCACCAAGCTGCTGCTGCAGCTGTCCATCATCCCGCTTTGGCCAAGACTTCACCTTTGCCAAATGGGCAAACTGTAGTGCCACCATCTGCTGCAGGTTCTCCCAATGACTATCATCATCCCAGCCAAATTACACCACCACCAGCCGGTGCTCCTGCTGTAAATGCTGCTAGCATGATTCCTTCACCTCCAGGTTCCAACTACAGCATGCCTCAGTTTCCTTTCAATCCTGTGGCTGCTGCCGCCGCCGCTGCTGCTGCTCAAGCTCATCCTGATTTATTGCATCCTCATCAAAAGGCTGCTCATCCTCATGCCTTCCATCCATACAACTTGGCTGGTTTAAGAGCTCGCCCTAATCACTTGCACAACACCTCTTTGGGCTCACACTCCTCCACCGAACACATCAGTCCAGCTCACATTAGTCCAGCTTCATCAAGACCTTCCTCCTCCTCACCTACTCATACTGCTCTCAACAATAAGTTCAACACCTCGGTAGAAACCAGTTCTCTACACGAACAATCTGCTTCCGATGCTGATTCAGATGATGAGCAAATCGATGTGGTTAAATCAGCCTTTGTACCCATCTTGCGCCCACAAATCCCCAGCCTTAATGGCTCCATTGAGGATTTGGATAAATCCATCGATTCCACCCGTTCCTCACCCACACAACACATCACTTTGCCACCCCGTGCCAGATGTGAATTGAAGGCTCCTTCCTCCCTGAAACCCTATTTCCATGAAACCTCCTCACAACATTCTCGCCAATCATCACCCGAAACCACTTTACCAGCTGCTACCAAACTAAAGAGTGCCGCCAACACCCAAAAAACCGTGTGGCGCCCATACTGAGAAGTTAATTTGGCGCAAGATGTCGTCATTGCTTATCTTCTCTTACGGCTTGCCAAGGAATTGGCATGGAAACGTATTCTAATGGCCAACGAAAGCAACAGCGCTAACGGACTCTAAACAAAACCGTTCAACAACTGATGGATTCAGTTTTCCCGAAAGCGCTGGCACAGCAATCGAGGTATAATTGTGTATGTGTGCAAACTAAGAAAAAAATATGTATGTGCTTGTGTGTTTGTATTGAAAAAAGCCGACGGCAAAACAACAAACAGCAGCAACATATAATTTTTCATTTGCACTGGAAACAAATACTAACGCCTACAACAACAAGAGCTTTTCAACTCTTAAAAAAATGTGATACAACAAACGGAGTAGCAGCTCTCCCTACAAATAAATCCCCCCCCAAAAAATGCTTGTGATATAGTGATAAGTTTAAAACAAATTTCCCGCCCGGCACTACCCGCAACAGACCCCAGGATTATTGCAATGGTCTTTTTTCTACAAATCGAAAAAAATTCTCCCCCCACCCCAACTAAAGGATTCCGGCGAATTTTTATGCTCGACTCATAAAATCGTACGCAGAGTTCGTTTTCATTGTCGATGCAATAGTCCTACGATTTCGTCGTTGTTTATTATTTAAGAAAAAAACTCAAATTTTATTTTAATTGTAAGATGCAATTAACGATTTTATTCATTTAAAAATTGTTTAATGTATTTGCTCAAAACAAGGGAAGTTTCTTTTAAAAATTACCTTTTTTTCAAAATAATTTTGTAAATACTCTAAACTTTTTTAAAACGATTTTAAATTTATTATAAATTTTTATTATTATTATTACTAGTATTAGAAGTTAAGTTTAAATATGAAAAAAATAGTTGACAATTAAATGATTGAAAAAAATCTATTAAATAAAATATATTTTTACAAAAAACGAAATTTTACTAAAGACTTTTTATTTCAAATTTTAAAAATTTTAAAGGCTAATTTTTTTAAATATTATGTAGAAAGTTAAAAATGCGTTTTAGAATTATGAACTGATTGTAAATAAGAACTGCAAAGGATTTTGTAATATATTAAAATTGAAAAGGATTCTTTAAAATGTTTAAAGTCTTAAAAATCACAAACGGTTTCTCTTTTACATAAACAAATTTTCAGAAACGTTTTGTAACCAGTGTAAAATTTTTCATTTAAATCATTTTTAATGATTTTTATTAAACAACCCTTGATAAATGTAACGAGTGTTAAGAGTATGTACGTACATCATGGGCCCTTTAATGGATTTTCGCAGCGCATACACTCGAATAAGTTACAACAAAAACACTGATTGTAATCTTTGTGACGCTTGTGTTGCTGTTGTTTTGTCGCTGCTGTTACAAAGGGATGACATTTAAAGCCATTCAAAATGACAGCAACCGAATGTGATGCACACGTTTGTTTATATTTATTACCGTTTTTTTTCTTTTCATATCAAAGCAAAAAAAGAGTATAATATTCAAAATGGCGTCATTATTATTTGAAAATTTATTGTATCAAATTTCATGATCTAAGGGTTTTTTGTGGAAAGCTTGGGAAAAACATACGAGATAGAATTGATATTTTATCAAAGGATGTACCATGCTTAAGATGGAACTTTACATACATATAATGATTTGGTATTTAAAATGGCGTGATTCTATAATATGTAGAATTTTAGATTATAAAATCCTTAATTTGAGAAAATCATGAGAAATTTTATCAAGGAAATTTTTAGAAAGGAAATCAAAGTCTCTTTAGAACCGTGTTGGTTTTAAAGAAACTTCGATTTGTTTAAGTCACATTATTAGGTGTTTTTTTTTTTTGTTCTTGATTAAATGCATTTGGACTTCCAAATTTGGGCTACTTTTGGAATTGAAACACGTATTGTTTTTAATAACGTGAACCGTGGCGGCATTCGTTATTGGTTTATCATCATAAACTGATAACTTCAGGTAACTCCAAAGGAAATTATCAAGACCTTGGTGTCTAATTAAAAGGTTATTTTCATAAAATCAAATCATCGCCAAATATCTATTTCAATAAATTGTTGATTATAGTCACCGTATGCCACGTAGAGCCGTCCTATTGAAACTATTGAACGTCAGAGAAATATCATCATATATTTAAAACAAAAAAGAGCTTCGATATCATTTCCGAAGACATAAGGTCTAGTGATTCCCCTAGAATATTAGACACATGAAAATGTATTGAACACAATTATGTGACAAAACATGGGATCTATCGAGGACCGAATTTTAATAAATATTATGATTTGCCGGAATATACTGAAGTCACAAAATTTGTCTCCTATTAAGTGAGGTTTCCGCATATAACGTAATCGGTACGAAAACAAAATTTAATACATTTGCGACGAAAAGAACTAATTTCTTTTCGGTACAAATATATGTGAAATTTCGTTTTCGGCTCGGCCGTTAGAGAAAGTTCGATGTTGAAATATTTTTACACCAATTGCTTCGAATTTGACTACTAAATTTGGAAATCATTGTTGACCACTTAATATCTGAAAATCCAAATTTAGTTCTAAACTCGAATCAGTTAATACTCTATATGTTCATAAACATATAGAGAATCAACTGATAGGGTCGAATAAAAGTTGTCGTATTGAATCAAAACTGGACACTGAATATGTTGACATTAGGAGCCATTATGTGGAATATCCGGAACAAAATTGTGACCATATAGGTACTGTTATCAATTATTACCGATATCCTAGTGGATAAACTTTAGATTTCCATATAAAAATGCGCACGATCTGGTTATATCTGTAACTGGATTTGACAATGAACTAGACGCTGGAGAAGTTGACAAATATAGTCACTAAGTTTGACTTATGAGGCATATCGAGGACTTAGTTATTTGGAAACTATTTCCACATCAATAACATCATCTGGGACATCCTAGTGTGATGATAGAATGAGACTTCTCAGAATAAGGATAATAGACACTTTGAAAACACAGCTATATATTTTGTAGTTTGTTCTAGACTAAGTATGTTGATTAAAGTTGAATTTTGTCACTAATTAGTTACAGTTTTTTAAAGAAGATATAGATATATACAGGACTATGATAGATTCCAATCCGATCGAAAGTGGAATTGATGTTTTAATTTTATTAAACTTAAAAAAATCTTAATAACAAATTTCAATTCCACTTATATAATTAGTTTCATTACAATAATGTTGTTGTTTTGCTTTTTCTAAAGATCGGATGTCGATCGGATTGGAATTCTGCGATAGGCCTGATAGTTTTTCGTCGTTGTTTCGTCGTTTTGAATCCTTGCCGAAATCAATACGTTAATTATTGTTTCTTGAATTCGTTGCATTTTAGGCGATTACGAAACTTCTACTTGCTATCGTTTCATATAAAGAACCATCGAATACTTCTGACTTCGAATTGAATAAACTGTAGAAGTTTTTGAACTTTCTTAAGCTCCACTATCAGCAGCCGGTCGTACCACTACACAGTGGAGCAGAATGTTTTTTTTTTTTTTGGAAATATATATAAACGCCTAGTTTAATCAGGGACCGCGATATGAAGGCTCAAAATAGGGCTCGACATTTAACATTTTAAGACGCGTGTTATTCTTTGTTTCCGATGAAACGCATTTTTTTCTTAACAAAATGCCTTGGTCCCCTTTTTAAATGTACAGCGTAACTTTGAACCGAATGGCTTCGATTTGCTTTAATTAATTAGACTACTAAATTACAAATAATACATTTCAAAGTAATATCGGATGGGAAACATAAAAATGCCACGCTTTTCAAAATTTTACATGACTTTGAGCCCCCATAAGTCCTCTGAAGCATTTGTGGGGTTCATTTTCAAAACTTATTCAGGAACATGCCTCGGCTACACCCATGTCCATTGCACTATTCACTAGTAGAAACTCTCAGTAGAATAATTATTCAATTAGTCAATTCTTAATCTTTCCGCTGGATTTTTAAACCAAGCCGATGTAAATAATAATAACTGAGTTATTAACAAATTAAGATTAAAATGATACTTTGTTTTCACTTAAAGATAAATTACACTTTATCTCTTTTAAAAATTTCATAACATTCAAGTAAAACTTTCGTAAGAGAAACCTTCAAAATACCCACAGTTGATAATGATAGAATAAAACCCAAATCAATGCGAAACCAAAACCCTTAACAAATCAATAACAAATATAAAATTAATTCATCAAACTAACACCATGCAAAAGAACACATGACATATTAAAGAAATCCTACAATTTCAACAAAAAAAAAAAAAAAAAAAAGCATGAAGGTTAAATTTTTTCTTAGTTGGGGTGAACCACAAGATATTAAAAATATTTAATGGTCATATTAAATTTTCACAACTTAACAGCATTTAAACTAAGATGGAGTGAAACTAAAAACTAAACATCTTAAGATTTAGCAGTTTAACAGCTGAAAGTACAAATATACATATTTGAAAAGTAAAGAAGAGCAGTCAAGGTCAATCAGTTTTTGAGCAATGACAGCTAGTGTGTAACATTGTTTGTTAATGTGTCATGTTGTGTGGTTTATTACGTTTCGGTTTAATGCAACAACTTAATTTTAAAGTCATGTTTTAAAACAGGACTTTCACTCAGTAACTAACTCTCTCCTTGTTCTATGTCCTTTAACTAGGCTCATTGTGTGTAAGTATGAATGTCGATTATTACCATCGTTAATTGAGGTCGTTATACTAATTAATAGTTGTCATTGTTTAACTAATTACATACTGCTGTGATATGTTTTTTTCATTCTTTCTCCTTTTTTTTTGGTTCATTATAGGTTTTAACCATCACTGTCATCCATCCATCCACACATATTGTCACAATTTCCTATTTTATTTGCGTAAAATTTTATGGGTTTGAGTCCATGGTTCATTACAGTATCTATTTTTATCTATCTATTGGCATTTGTAAGTAGTGTTGCAGGAAGAATGTATGTGATTATGCGTTGGTGTTGACCCTGGATTTTATGATTATATCACTGTAGGTGATTTTGGCTTTGATTGCAAATTAGTTTTGTCACACAACACAATATTTTCCTTTCCACATCCATAATCGATGATTATCTCTATTAATTGTTTTTTATTTTATTCTGTTGCAAAGTTTTTTTTTAGTCACGCTCATTATAATGTGGTCTATTGGTGGTCTCCAGATTAATGTGACCGTAAATGGTTAGATTAGTTAAACTGGAAAGGATACATATTAGTTAAAGTGTAACATATTGTTTGGAATTGAATTTCAGCTGCTTTGAGAAGAGAATCTAGATATTTCCAAAAAGAGAAGGGAACATGTTTTTCAAGTGAAATTGTAGCAGGACGAGAGATTGTTCTCGAAGGACCATAAATTCGAAAATATTTATACTAAAACTGAACAAGAACTGAACTAGAACTGAACTAGAACTGAACTAGAACTGAACTAGAACTGAACTAGAACTGAACTACAACTGAACTACAACTGAACTACAACTGAACTACAACTGAACTAGAACTGAACTAGAACTGAACTAGAACTGAACTAGAACTGAACTAGAACTGAACTAGAACTGAACTAGAACTGAACTAGAACTGAACTAGAACTGAACTAGAACTGAACTAGAACTGAACTAGAACTGAACTAGAACTGAACTAGAACTGAACTAGAACTGAACTAGAACTGAACTAGAACTGAACTAGAACTGAACTAGAACTG